AGCTCCATTTCTGGGACCGCCACTGCTGGACGCCGTGTCGTGGAGTGGAGATCCGATCCATCGGGACTTGAGATGCTTCTTGTTTGGGCTATAGGACCCCTACCTTGCTTGGACGGATTGTTCATTTTGTTTTGCAATAGTTAGTTAGTCACTTCCCCTTCCTTATAACGATCCTTGAAATCCATTTTTTTTTTCTTTTCTTCCCAGCCCATCCAGACTGCATGTATAGGTGATTTGCTTTATTTTCCAACCCTTTGTGCAAGTGAACCTCCACACCACATGTGATGTCAGCTTCTGGCTGTAGACTGGAGCTCCTGCTTGCGGCTGTTTATTTCCACTGCTCTACCTTGGGGTTCTAGCCATTCCAGCTGGGTTTGCATCTATGGGGATCGGAGTTTGTTATGTTCGGGGCTCCCTTGTGTGTGATTAATGAGCCTTTTATGTTGTGGTGCATTGCTATAGGGATTTGGAGTTTGAACAATGCCAATGTGGCTACCCTGCATGATTTTAGGCGAACATAATGTCAGTACATTTGACTAGTTCTGCTAGAATGGGAATTTTACCAGATATGCCCTGAAGTCTGCATGTTCTCTGTTTTTTTAAGTATTATTGGGATATTCATTGATTCCATTCATGTAGTTGCCTGTGTTAGTTCTCTAACCAAACTCTGAGGCAGCTTGATAAAATAATGCAACTTAAAGTATTTCATTAGATAGCTGCGGAATGAATTTTACTCTTTAAGAACAACTAGAGGAAATGTTACTGTGATACGTTATGCGTAGCTGTGGGATTTCTTAGAATATAGGTGCTGTTTGGTTGGACTATTTTGCACCGGAAACGATTCACAGTGGTATTCACTAACGTTCATTTCCGTTTGGTTAAGATATATGCTGTAGTCGTCTCACGACGGGACTCGATGCTGTGATATGCACTGTGCTTACCACCCAGGAACCACCACAAACGGATCACATTGCTGGCAGCTATCACCTCACGTGAACTAAACAATCAGAGCAAATGATTACATTTTTCCAGGTTGCAGCGTTATCCATTCCCATTGACGTTTACGTTGGCAGTGCGCTAATCAAACAGCACCATAGTTATTTCTGGCATCGCCACCAAAAGTGTCCTATGCTTTACTTCTGCTGATCTGCATTAGAATTCCTCTGTGTTAGTTCATTCCACAACAACAACAACATAGCCTTTCAGTCCCAAGCAAGTTGGGGTAAGCTAGAGTTGAAAACCCATCAAGAGCCCCAAGTCACGGTTCAGGCACTTCAATAGCTGCTTTCCAAGTACTCCTATTCACACATAGATCTCTAGTTATATCCTAAGCTTTCAAATCTCTTTTTATTGCCTCCCCCCATATCAATTTCGGTCTTCCTCTACCTCTCCTCATATTATTATCTTGGCTTAGGACTCCACAATGCACTGGTGGTTCTGGAGGTCTCCTTTGGACATGGCTAAACCACCTCAACCGATGTTGGACAAGCTTTTCTTCAATTGGTGTTACCTCTAGGCGATCACGTATATCATCGTTCCGAACTCGGTCCATTCCTGTGTGACCGCAAATCCATCGCAACATACGCATTTCTGCAACACTCAGTTGTTGAACATGTCGAATCTTTGTAGGCCAACATTCTACTCCATACAACATAGCCGGTCTAATCGTCGTTCTATAGAACTTGTCTTTTAGCTTTTGTGGTACCCTCTTGTCACAGAGAATGCCAGAAGCTTGTCGCCACTTAATCCACCCCGTTTTGATTCTATGGCTAACGTCCGCATCAATATCTCCATCCCTCTGTAGCATCGATCCCAGATATCGAAAGGTATCCTTCTTAGGCACTACTTGACCTTCCAAACTCACATCTTCCTCCTCCTGTACAACTCCGCCAAAGTCGCATCTCATGTATTCGGTTTTAGTTCTGCTCAATCTAAAACCTTTAGACTCAAGGGTCTGCCGCCATAACTCTAGTTTTCTATTTACTCCCGCCTGGCTTTCGTCCACTAACACTACATCATCAGCGAACAACATACACCAAGGGATATCTCCTTGTATGTTCCTGGAAACCTCATCTATTACTAAGGCAAAGAGATACAGGCTTAAGGCTGACGCTTGATGAAGTCCAATTTTAATCGGGAAGTAATCTGTTACCATCGTTTGTTCGAACACTATTCATAACATTGTTGTACATGTCCTTGATGAGAGTCACGTACTTTGATGGGACTTTATGTTTGTCCAAAGACCACCGCATAACATTTCTTGATATCTTATCATAAGCCTTCTCCAAGTCAATGAAAACCAAGTGGAGGTCCTTCTGCTCTCTAAACCGCTTCATAACCTGTCTTATTATGAAGATTGCTTATGTGGTTGACCTTCCAGGCATGAAACCAAATTGGTTTGTTGATATCTGTGTCGTTCCTCGCAGGCGCTGCTCGATGACTCTCTCCCATAACTTCATAGTGTGGCTCATCAACTTAATTCCCCGATAATTAGTACAACTTTGGATATCTTCCTTGTTCTTGTAGATTGGTACCAATATGCTTCTTCTCCACTCCTCAGGCATCTTGTTCGATCAAAAGATATTGTTGAACATCTTGGTTAGCCATACTATAGCTATATCCCCGAGACATCTCCACACCTTGATTGTGATACCATCAGGGCCCATTGCTTTGCCCCTTTTCATCATTTTCAAGGCTTCTCTGACCTCTGATTCTTGAATCCTCCGCACAAAGCGCCTGTTAGTGTCATCAAACGAGTCGTCCAGCTGAACGGTGGTGTTCTCGTTCTCACCATTGAACAATTTATCAAAATACTCTTGCCATCTATGTCTGATCTCATTCTCCTTTACCAAGAGTTGCTCCCTCTCATCCTTTATGCACTTGACTTTGTTGAAGTCCCTTGTCTTCCTATCGCGAGCCCTAGCCATCCTATAAATGTCCTTCTCTCCTTCCTTCGTACTCAAACGTCGGTAAAGGTCCTCATAGGCCCGTCCCTTTGCCTCACTCGCCGCTCGTTTTGCAGTCTTCTTTGCCACCTTGTACTTCTCTATGTTGTTTGCACGCCTGTCATGATACAAGCGTTTATAGCACTCCTTTTGCTTAATAGCCTTTTGCACATCTTTATTCCACCATCAAGTGTCTTTTGAGTCGCATCCGTTCCCTTTGGTCACTCCAAGCACCTCTGAAGCAACCTTCCGAACACTTGTTGCCATCTTCTCCCACATGTTGTTTGCATCGCTTTCATCATTCCAAGGGCCCTCTTCAATGACCTTTTCCTTAAAGACCTTTGATGCCTCCCCTTTTAATTTCCACCACTTCGTTATAGCAACCCTAGCTTGTTTGTTCCCACGAGCTTGCACCAGAAAGCTGAAGTCAGCCACCACCAGCTTGTGTTGAGCGACCACACATTCTCTAGGTATCACCTTACAGTCCACGCATGTTCGTTTATCCCTCCTTCTTGTAAAGACTAAGTCGATTTGACTAGAGTACTGGCCGCTACTGAAGGTCACTAAATGGGACTGTCTCTTACGGAAGAAAGTGTTAGCTATGATCAGATCAAAAGCTATGGCGAAGTCTAAGACTTCCTCTCCCTCCTGGTTCTTACTACCATATCCGAAACCCCCATGAACCGCCTCGAAACCTGCACTTGATGTACCTACATGGCCATTAAGATCACCTCCTATAAAGAGCTTCTCGCTACTAGGGACAGCTCTAACCAAGCGATCTAAGTGTTCCCAAAAAAGCCACTTAGCACTCTCATCATGGCCTACTTGGGGGCATACATACTAATTACGTTTAAGACCATATCACTAATGATAAGTTTAACTAAGATGATCCTATCCCCTTGCCTTCTCACCTTCACCACACCATCCTTGAGGCTCTTATCAATCAAAACTCCTCCATTTTTATTTGAAGTTATCCCTGTGTACCAGAGCTTGAAGCCGGTATTGTCCACCTCCTTCGCCTTCTGCCCCTTCCATTTAGTCTCTTGGACGCATAAGATATTTACACGCCTCATAACCGCTGTGTCCACTAACTCTCTTAACTTACCTGTAAGGGACCCTACATTCCAGCTACCTAAATGGATCCTAGTTGGCTCGACTAGCTTCCTTACCCTTCGCACCCGCCGAGGTAGGTGTGAAGACCCTTGCTCATTTTGCACCACACCCGGGCGCCGATGTGGCGCGCCACTAAGGATGCGCTCTGTGTTAGTTCATTATTGAAAAAAAATTCATCGCAAATGAAGGAATGGGGAGTGTGTAAAGCCAATTTTTTTTGTCATGCTTTTTATTACTCTGATTCCAAATGTAGGTCATTTTAGCCTTTTTATTTTTTCTCTCTATTTTTAGGTCGTTTTAGAACTACACTTTGTTTACCCCTTTTGTCCATTCTTGCCCCTGCTTAATAAATGCTACCACTCACACAAATGAATGAGTCATCTTTCCAAATGTGCATATTAAGTGAAGGGCCCTAAGGCCATTTGATATATATTACTTAATCCTTGTGCTCAAGTCGAAATGGCCTATATTTGGAATCAGAGGATGTAGTTGCCTCCAGGGGTTTCAGAATAGCTCATTCAGTATATGTTACTATGGGTTGGAATGTTGGATACCTGCTTTCAACATTAAATTTTTCATTGGCTCATTGCACCTGAAGGCATACTGCACCGTCTGCTCTTCAACACATTGGGCGCATATTTTCCTGGTTCATTGATTTTTTTTTATTTGACCCAAAGCTATGGGGCTAAAACCCTCCAGCATGATCAAATTTTACAAATGTAAAAGGATTTTTATGTACAAGCAGACTACAAAGAACTAGGGGATTTACAGAAACTGAAATTGCTACATCAGCTCTTTTTCCTTGCTACTCGCTACATATTGCTACACTTCTGATTTCTGAAGGTACTAATCACTAACAGTTGCTGCACTGTTTGTATACCAGTCCCAGTTTGCTGCACATGCTCTAAGATATGAGATAGCCCTGTGCGAGTGATTGGAAAGATGGCATCAAAAGGTCCCCGGTCAAAGCTAGACCATGAGACAAGAGCTAGGCGTCAAAAGGTTAGCTCACAGATTTGATATTGCATGAATCCATCCACTGTATATTTCTCTTCATCTTCTGGGCTAGTTTACTTGGCATATTTGTACTTGTACCTCCATACTGCCATTTTTTTGGTGTCATGCTCCGTAGTTTGAGAGGAAAATAAAGGGAAAACTGTTATTCTTTGCGCAGGCTCTTGAAGCTCCAAGGGAGCCTCAACGGCCAAAAGTTCACTGGGACCATGTCCTTGCTGAGATGGTGTGGCTGGCAAAGGTTGCTTACTATTTTATATTATAATTGGCAAATTGCAATCCTTCTCATTGAGAAACCCCCACTTAAATTTATCGTCAATTTGTAATTGTTTTTTCTTTTTGCAAGCTTAAATTTGTGTATGCTGCAGGAGTTTGATTCTGAGAGAAAATGGAAGTTGTCCATGGCCAAAAAGATTGCTCAAAGAGCAAATAAGAGCATAGTTGACCAAGCAACAAAGGGCGAGAGAAAACAGAAGGTTTGACTCTTGTGACACAATGTTTACAAATTGTTTAGTCGAACCCAGTTGCAATGGGACTGACAAGGCGACTAGTCATGATTAGTTGTGGACCAGACCGATTAGTCGAGACTAGTCATCTTATTTGTCCTATATATTTCAGGACATATACATACTATATTAGTATACACAATAAAGCAAGCATCAAGACTACATTCAAGGTCATGCATGATCACTTCCACCACTGCATGTTGCCGTTCCACATCTGCACATATACACAACAGCTGTACAGCACCTCAGGATGGAGACACCATCCGAGGAGTACATCACGAAGAGGGGTGGTGGCTTGAGAGTGCGGCGGCGGCTTAATGGCTCCACAAGAGGAGGAACGGTGCATGGGAGATGAGGAATAGCATGGGGGAGGAGGAACGGCGCGTGGGAGACGGGGAATAGCGTGGGGGAAGAGAGGAATCATGTACGGGAGGAGTTGCGGCGGCGTGGGATAAAGAATTCCGGCGCGCCTCTGTTCTCTGTGTTTTGCTGGAGTCTGGGCACACTTATGCTAACCTGAAGAGGCCAAATTGGCAGCCCGTAGCCCACCCCTCTAAGCCCAGTTGAGCAGGCCCGTGAAAGGACAGGCAGTCACAGCATCCAGCCTGGGTATCCTCCTCCTAGTCGGATGACTGGAAACCTAGTCAAGTTTCTAGTCAAGCTAGTCGCCTCGGTGTCCCTAGTTGACTTCAAGGGACCAATTAGGCCGATTAATCACGATTAATTGGACGACTTGTAGACACTGTTCTGTCATACATCTTGGCTCTGCTCGCTGCTGCTACTCTGGTAGCCACAGCGCTGCTACTGCTAGTTTCCTTTCGTAATTGAACAGTAGCTGCAGGAAGGGGTACTGCAGCAAGCTGCTTATCTATGAAATGTTAGCTATGGTTATTTTCTGTAATGCCTTTGAATGAAGATATGGAAGGGCGGGCCTGGTGCAAGCGGTAGAGTCTTACCGCCTGTGACCGGAAGGTCCCGGGTTTGAGTCGTGGTCTCCTCGCATTGCAGAGGCGAGGGTAAGGCTTGCCACTAACACCCTTCCCCAGACCCTGCACAGAGCGGGAGCTCTCTGCACTGAGTACGCCCTTTGAATGAAGTTATGGTGCTCCAGTAATAACCCAAAAGTCGAATTATGTAAATAATGAATTAAGAGAATTATTCTAGTATATGATGATTTTTCTTTGCAGGAGGAAGAACATAGAATGCGAAAAGTTGCCCTTAATATGTCAAAGGATGTGAAGAAGTTCTGGATTAAAATAGAAAAGCTGGCAAGTTCATTTTTGTCTTCTAACGTCGTGGCTAACTGTGACACTATAGGATATTCCTTTTTGGAAGAAAACTGAGTTTTTTTTTTTATTTGAGGGAAAGCAGGTATTTTATAAGCATCAACTGGAGGTTGAGGAGAGAAAGAAGAAGGCTCTTGATAAGCAACTTGATTTCCTTTTAGGTCAGACTGAAAGGTATGTCAGTCTCATTACGGTTCATCTGACCTGTAGCATCTTTAATTTTGTTCCTAGCTGTATATTGACCTTCTTTTCTTTGGTACAATTGTCTCCAGGTATTCGACAATGTTGGCGGAAAACCTTGTGGACATGCCCTATTCCCAAAACCTAGAAAACGGGACTTTGCAGATAAACCAACCATCCCATCAAGAAGAAGTAGCAGAAGAGAACATAAATGCAGCCATTCCTGATGATCTTGGTTTGTAGCATAGTGATGTATTTTGCATGTGTCAAGACCTTATTTTCGTTCTCTTGGTTTAAACAATTTCTATTTGCAGATAATATGGAAGTCGATGGTGATTATGAGAGCTCCTTGGATGAAGAGCCAGTAAGCCATTTCAGTTACCTAATTGAGTTTTTCTTTTGTTACTCAGAAAGTAAATGTAAGGAATTCTATGTATCAAGGCACATTATTGTCTTTGTTAATTTGAGAAGGATCCTTTTCTTTGAGGCTATTACCATCCATATGTTTTTTCCTCTGTTTTATTTCACTATATAGTATATACTTAATACTATACTGTTACGTGGCAGCAAATATATTTTCATTTATCAATTATTGTTCAGAGCAGCAAAAGTTGGTGATAGATTTTTTTGACATACTGTTAGCTCAAGTCAATTTTGTAGTAGGCTGCATACAAGTATTAGAATGGAATGTTTGTTGTCTTTTTTGAAACCGTTGTTCACATGAATGATGAATTGTACTTGTATGTGTGAATGCTGCAGGAAGATGATGAGCAGACAATCGATGTGGATGAAGCTCAGATCACCGAAGCTGAGCGGAATGAAGAACTAGCTGCTTTAGAGGCAGAAGCTGACCTACCACTGGATGTTATTCTCAAGATGTATACCAAAACCAAAGGTGATCTCCAACAACAATTCTCTCTTACCCACTTCCATACATAGAGGGGACAATGCTATGCACTGCTTGACACTCAATTGATAATTTGATTAGTTCAATATGTCTCAGTTAGCAGGGAAAGCAGTCCAGACAGCAACGACATGTTAAGTAACTTAGGTTCGAAGAATTTGATTGTAGGTGAGATTGTGTAGAGTATTAGGAAGTTGGTCAGACTCTTTGATGTCATTTCTTATGATTGATGTGGATCTTGCCTTTTCTCAGATTCTTGAACCAGGCTAATGGCTGTGATCATGAACCTGCTCACTCTTCAACTGACGATGGCAATTCTTCTGAGGAAGTGGATGATGGTCAATCTTATGCTGAGTTTGTGAAGAAAAGTCATGTATGCTTGCTTTCTGTATCTTATTTGTGTTCCATGTGTTGGCTTTATTCTTTTATCTTTATTCATTCTTTGGATGAAACCCTGGACATAGAGCATTATCTGATTGTACCACCAAATTTTCTTAACTTTTCAGGGTAAAAGTAACGGAAATATTTCTTCTATCAATGATCAGGCATGTTCTAGTCATCTATGTTGTTTATGATTTTCTTTATCCTTTATCCCACTGTTATATACTTATATTTTTTTCTTTCCTATCGCTGCCAGAGGGTGATGTCTCTAGAAACAATCCTTATGTGTGGGAAATGGGAGTTTATGTGGTCATGGGCCAAGAAGAATTTTAACACTAGCTATTCATGGACTGCCCCTTCACTTGATAGTATCTGCCCAACTAAACTTCCTTTGTAGACCAGTTAGCTATCGAATTAAGAAAACAATACCCCTATCACATGAAAGTTTATCTTTTCAAAGTTAAACCTCCATTAACAACCTTTAAGAAGTAGAGGAAGAGCAGAGAAAGAAATGCAATACATTCTGGATTACTTAATGTGGACATTTTAAGCTTAAATTCCAGTAAATTTAGCTACAATCAACATCGTGAGTGTCACCGGCGCGGTGCCCTGTACCTTCCTGTCGCGGCCCTCTACGCAGTTAGGCTCATGACACTACCCTTGGCTGCATCCATCGCAAATCAAGCCCCGCACCGCCTTCTGTCCTCCAATCTCCGTGTCTCCGTGCTTAAAATAAGTGGGGCCCGGGCAAGCTCAAGATAAGGGGCGCCCTGCACCTTCCTGCTGCTGTGTGCCTTTCCTTGCGCGGGAGGTGTCCTGCACCTTCCTGGCACTGGCATGGCCATATCTGCTTCTCAGTGGCCGACACCTGTGTCGCTAACGGTGGTTGACGGGATGGGAATCACCATCCATCCTCATCTTTTCTACCAAAGCGGGGAGACAGGACCCATCCCATCATAGGTTGTCTTCAAACCTAACACATGTTAGTTTCCACTATTTGCACCGGAGGTTGGGGATATTCAGCTTTGGTTTCTTAGTAAAGATCAAATGGTCTGTTTTTTATGCTCAACAAGATGAATGGTGGCCAAAAAAACTGCTTTCTAGGACTCCTATCTGGCTATTTTACGATTGTGTGGTTAATGTAACTGCGATATTCTTTTTTCAGGAGGACGAAGATTACATTGCTGCTGAAGAAGTAAAGGTAGCATTGCCTTTTTCATCTTGTTTCCTCATTGCTTTCTTGTTCCCTAGTTTTTCCATTACGCCATACTACCTGGATTGGAGTTTATACTTGAAGAAAAATCGGGAAAACTATAGCCATCTGGTAAAGTTGTCATGTATATTGAGTCCTGCTGTCTCGTGATACATAATATATGATCATCTCTGATAGGATGACGAAACAACTTTGTCTGAAGAGGAAGAATTGGCAAAGAAAGAAGATCCTGATCATCTGGAAGAGGTGATTGCTGCCATCAATCCATAACATCATTGAATTGTTTGCATTGTCATGCTGAAGTGAGTTCAATTTTTATTGCACGGAGCGTAAACTTAGCCGGTCTTGAAAACTGATTCAATAGCATTGTTATCATGTGTAACTATGCAAGGCTATCAATTTCTTTTTCTGAAGTTCGCTTCATTTATTTTGGTTCTGGACATTAATTCTGGGAATGTCAAGAGGCTAAGTTAATTAAATAGATTGTTTGGGCTATCTGCTACCACCTTTGGTTCCACAGTCTTTTTATGTTAGTTTAGAACATACAAAGATTCCTTTAGTCACACAAGTTTGTTACTGTGTGAATCCCAATTAAAAGCACAGCCCTTAAGTTTTGATAAGGGATCTGATTATATCTTGTGCATGAGGAAGTAGTGATGCATCCATTTGGCTGACTGTTTAGGAAAATACCCTTATATTTCTGCAATTATTGGGGGCTAACAGTATTTTGTTTTCTGAAACTTAGCAAGCTCTCTCTCTCTCTCTCTCTCTCTCTCTCTCGCGCGCACACACACACACACACATCAAACTGGCATTTAAACGTTAAACCCGAATTCTAGGGTTTGTTATTTGATTGCTGAACAGATACTAGCGAATTGAATGAAAGACCACACGACTAACAATGTGGTGCATATTTAAATCAGTAGGATCATATAAATATTATATATTATCCAATGTTATTAAGGCGTCGCTTAAGCGTCGGGGCGCTCCATGCTCGCCTTAGGGGTAAGGCGGCGCCTTGCTGCCTTATGCGCATGCTGACTCCCCTCGATTCCGCCGTCTCCTCGTCGATTCCACTTGATTCTGCCTTCTCCTCGCCGCTGTCTGCTCGATTCCGCCGTCTCCTCGCCGCCGTCCGCTCGATTCCACCATCTCCTCGCCGCCGTCTGCTCGATTTGGAAGGGGACGGTGGCAGCTGTAGATCTGGAAGGGGAGCAGCGAGGGAGGGGAGCAGAGCAGCGGAGAGATGAACGGAGATGGCAGAGCAACAGAGGGAAGTGGCGCCGTGGAGGGATGAATGGAGGCGGAATGAGTGGTGGAGAACGAGAGAGAGCCCTGGAGGGGATTAGGATAAGCCACGCCAGGAGGGGGACGGGCACATGGGCCGCCTGGTGGACTGGGCCAGCCCACTTCTTACTCCTCTTTTCTTTTTCCCTTTTTCCTTTTCTTTTTTCTTCATCATCTACTGCTCTAAGTTGCTGTTTTAAGTTTTTCTTAAATTCGTAAGGCGTTGCCTCGCCTCACGCTTTAGTCGCTTAAGTGTAAGGCGGTAGTCACTCGCCACGCCTCGCCTTACCGCCTTAATAACCATGATATTATCCAATAGAACCATGTCTAAAAGCAAATGTGACATTATACTGGTCTATGCAGAGGGCCCTGGTGGTCAGCATTCCTCCATTTAGAATTTATGTAGCCAAATTCTTGTTTTCATTAAAGGCTTCAGAGGTTGGAGTCGGACTAGGAGTAATTTTATACATTAATTGCAAATACTCTCCCAATTTTTCTAGCAATTGGTTTCACAATTCCATATGTTCCAAAAGGCTTCTGCTAACTATTTTTTGGTGATCATATGTCCTTTCAATTGTAGATTAAGTTACTGCAGAAGGAGAGTGAGATACCACTAGAAGTACTTCTCGCGAGGTACCGAAAGGTATAGTTAGGTTTTCCATTGCTTTCTTCAAACAAATTACTGTGGTCCATTTGTAATACCTTTTTTTATATTTAGGATGGCTGTGCAGATCATGAAACAGCGGAGTTGGAGAATTCACCCCATTTTATTGAAGAGGTCAATACTGACATGTCTTTGGATGATCAATCTGTGAACATTTTGGAAGCGAAAAGTGATATATTTGTGGATCACCAATCCAGGGATGTGCTGGAAACTGAGCACAAGGCTCTACAATCAGAAATCGATGTGGTGGAAACTGAGCAGGAGGCTCTACAATCAGAAATCGCATCAGAGCCTTGTGCTCAACAAAATTTTGTGGAAGAGAATAATCTCACTGATGTTAAGGCAGTCCATGGAGATAAGAGTGATGATGTAATTGCTGATGCTGCAGCTGCTGCAAGATCAGCACAACCAACTGGCAACACCTTCTTGACTACAAAAGTGCGCACGAAATTCCCATTCCTTCTTAAGCATTCTCTTCGTGAATACCAGCATATAGGGCTGGATTGGTTGGTTGCTATGTATGAGAAGAGGCTTAATGGAATTCTAGCAGACGAAATGGGTTTAGGCAAGACAATCATGACTATCTCCTTGCTTGCACACCTTGCGTGTGAGAAGGGGATATGGGGTCCTCATCTTATTGTCGTGCCGACTAGTGTTATGCTAAATTGGGAGACTGAATTTCTTAAGTGGTGTCCTGCTTTTAAAATACTGACTTATTTTGGAAGTGCAAAGGAGAGAAAGCAGAAACGTCAGGGCTGGATGAAACCAAATTACTTCCATGTTTGCATCACAACATATAGGCTTGTCATTCAGGACTCTAAAGTGTTTAAGCGAAAAAAGTGGAAGTATCTTATTCTTGATGAGGCTCATCTGATAAAGAACTGGAAATCACAGCGTTGGCAGACTTTGCTCAACTTTAATTCAAAGAGACGTATTCTTCTGACTGGAACTCCACTGCAAAATGACCTTATGGAACTTTGGTCCCTCATGCATTTTCTGATGCCTCATGTATTTCAGTCTCATCAGGAGTTCAAGGATTGGTTCTGCAATCCAATTTCTGGGATGGTGGAAGGCCAAGATAAAGTAAACAAAGAAGTTATAGATCGATTGCACAATGTCCTTCGTCCATTTATACTGCGTCGACTGAAAAGGGATGTTGAGAAACAGTTACCAAGGAAGCATGAGCATGTCATATATTGCCGACTTTCTAGAAGGCAAAGGAACTTGTATGAAGATTTTATCGCTAGCTCAGAGACACAAGCAACACTGGCAAGTGGGAATTATTTTGGCATGATAAGCATCATTATGCAACTTAGAAAGGTCTGTAACCATCCAGATCTTTTTGAAGGTCGCCCAATAATAAGCTCATTTGATATGGCTGGGATTAACATGCAGCTCAGCTATTCAGTCTGCATGCTCCTTGATAAGAGTCCATTTTCTCAGGTGGACCTGTCTGATATGAATTTTGTGTTTACTCAAAATGAATTTAGCATGAGTTCCTGGGAAGCTGACGAGGTCATCTCTGCCTTTCCTTCAAGTATCACCTCCAGGAATTGTGACTTGGATATTTTTTGCTCTAATAAGGATCATCAGGGAAGTAATTTGACAAACATTTTCGAAGATATTCAGAAAGCCCTACAGGAGGAGAGAATAAAGGAATCCAGAGAAAGGGCAGCTTCCATTGCATGGTGGAATAGAGTTAGATGCCAAAAGAGGCCTGTCTATGGCACAAACACGAGACATGTTTTGACTGTAAATCATCCTGTATCAAATATTCTTGATAAGAGGAACAACCCTTTGTGCCACATGGACTATTCATCAAGCCTTGCAGATCTTGTTCTTCCATCTGTGGAACGCTTTCAGAAAATGCTTGATGTTGTTGAATCATTTACATTCGCAATTCCTGCTGCTCGAGCTCCTCCACCTGTTTGCTGGTGCAGCAAAGGAAAGTCTCCTGTTTTTATTGATCCGGAATATAGAGAAAAATGCATGAACAAGTTTTCTCCCACTCTGTCTCCTATAAGGTCTGCTATTGTTCGTCGTCAAGTCTACTTTCCTGATAGGCGTTTGATCCAGTTTGATTGTGGGAAGTTGCAGGAACTTGCAATTCTGTTAAGGCGTTTGAAGTCAGAAGGGCACAGGGCCTTGATATTTACTCAGATGACTAAGATGCTTGACGTCTTGGAAGAGTTCATAAATTTATATGGGTATACATATTTACGTTTAGATGGTTCTACTCCCCCAGAAGAGAGGCAGACTCTGATGCAGAGGTTCAACACAAACCCAAAGTTTTTCCTTTTCATTTTGTCCACTCGTAGTGGTGGTGTGGGAATCAACCTTGTAGGTGCAGACACTGTCATCTTCTATGACAGTGACTGGAACCCTGCAATGGACCTACAAGCACAGGACAGATGCCACAGGATTGGTCAGACTCGTGAAGTTCACATATATAGATTCATTAGTGAAAGCACTATAGAGGAGAACATTCTCAAGAAAGCAAATCAGAAACGAGCTCTTGATGATTTAGTGATACAACGTGGTAGCTACAATACGGAATTCTTCAAGAAACTTGATCCTATGGAGTTCTTTTCCGGGCACACGTCTCTCCATGTGGAAGATCAGGAGAAGAATTGCTCTACAACCGCGGGAGCTTCAAATGATGTGGATCTGGCTCTGTCAAATGCAGATGTTGAAGCAGCTATTAGACAGGCAGAAGATGAAGTTGACTATATGGCTCTCAAGAAGCTGGAGGAGGAAGAAGCCGTGGACAATCAAGAATTCAGTGAGGAGGTTGCTGGCAGACCAGAGGAGGATGAATTGGTTAATGAGGAGGATGGAAAACCTGATGAGCACATTAATGAAGAACACAAATACAACTCTTCTGATGTAGAGAAGGAGAAGCACATAACTTTGTCTACCAAGCGATTGAACGATGAAAAGGCTCTTACATTGGCTGTTGGTGATGAAGATACTGACATGCTTGCTGATGTGAAACAGATGGCAGCTGCAGCAGCTGCAGCAGGGCAAGCAAGTTCATCTTTTGAGAACCAGCTCCGGCCAATTGATAGATATGCAATGCGCTTTATGGAACTCTGGGATCCAGTAATTGACAAATCTGCTGTGAATCATCAAGTAAATGTTGAGGAGGAAGAATGGGAGCTTGATCGTATTGAAAAACTCAAAGAGGATTTGGAAGCAGAAATTGATGAAGACCAAGAACCACTGTCTTATGAATGTAAGTATTTTATGTCTGCAATAATTTCCTTTTTGCCACTTTGGAACATTCTGTTCTTTGTCATTTTAGCATTTTCTGCATTTTAGCTGGAGCTTTGTTTTCACCTCAATGTAGGTATCCTTCCTTTTTTATGCTTTAGTAATATTGACATCATCTTTATTTATTGCAGCATGGGATGTTGATTTTGCTACAACAGCCTATCGGCAACATGTTGAGGCTTTAACTCAAAAGCAGGTCGTTTATTGACTTGCTAACTTGTAGTCTTATGTGTCTCACTTGAAACACAGTGCCTTTTAGTCTGACTTGTTATAATACATGCAGTTGTTGGAAGAACAGGAAAGACAGGCTCAGGAAGCAGCAAAAGAGTTGGAGGAGAAGAATGATAATATGAGGTACTGAATGGAAATTTATTTTCCTGAAACACAACAGTGGTAGTAAATTTTTCTTTTGTTTTGTTTCAGTTGCACTTCACTTTTGTGTCAATTGGCAATATTAGCATGTTATGTGCCCACATTATTTCTAATGGATGTGTTTGTGGCTGTTGACTTTTTTTTCTTAGACTATAGCTTCCCTTTGATATACTATTGACTATACATTTTGGCATTCATCTACAGCAGTCACCGCAGAAAGTCAAAAAAGAACAAAAAGAAGACAAGCAAATTCAAGTCCCTGAAAAGAGTGCGTTTGTCGTCTGAATCAGAAGTCGTACTGGAGGAAACCTCTGTAGATACAATGAGCATTGATGACAATGCACCCTCACCTGAGCTTATAAGTGATGAATCGCCACACCATTATTCTAACAAGCGTAAGAAGATTATGTCTGCTACTGAGGAAGATAGTAACAGCAGAAGTTTAAAGAAGTTTAAGAAAACTACTAAGTCAAGTTTTATTTCTGAAGCCTTGTCACCTAGGCTGAAGGAGGACCTTAATGATTCAGATCCAAAATCAATGGCTAGAACTAAAAGTGATGGCAGAATTTCCATCCCTTGCATGCCAGTAAAACGTGTTATTGTAATAAAGCCTGAGAGATTGAAAAGGAAGGGAATATGGTCTCGAGATTGTGCTTCAGACTCATGGACATCCGAGGAAGATGCAGTTCTTTGTGGAACTGTGCATGAGTATGGTCCTCTTTGGGAATTGGCAAGTGATTTTCTTCATTCCTTGCCAGGTGGGTCCTATAGGGGAAGATATCATCATCCTGTGCATTGCTGTGAGAGATACAGAGAACTGTTCTGCAAACATGCAATATCAGCAACAGATAATTCTAACAGTGAAAAGGTTCCTTCTGGGACTGGAAAGGCTATACTTAGAGTATCCGAGGTGAGTTGATATCTTGTCTTCCTATTGGACTACCTTATCAAAAAGGAAGCTTTGTTGTGCGCAAATTTTGACAAAGATTGACTTTTGACTATATTATTGTTGTTTTTCAAACAATGGATTGACTTTATTATGATCTCTTAAAAATAGTTGGGGCAGTCCCAATGCTAGAAACCACGGGTAGTTTCTATGCTTAATAATTTCTGTAGACACTATATGTAAAAACTATGTTCTCAATGGATAGTTTCTAGATAATAAATTTTTGTCCAATCACATGTCTTGTCTCTTCATTACCTATAAATCACATCTCTTCGTGTCTTGGTTCTCGCGTAAACATGGTTTCTTCTCTAGGAAACCATTTCCTCATCTCTCTTCTTTAATTGCAGTGCCACGTCATCTTTTTGCTTAGTTGGCACCCTAATTAATGAAGATAGAAACCATCTAGTTTCTTGGTTGGTAGTGCCCTTATGAGATCATGCAAGCAAACATACCTTAGACAATACACTTTATTCATGGAACCCTTCAGTTTAAGTAATTTTTTTCGGAAAGATCTGGAACCTTTGATTCCAGCTTATATCAATAATAAGAGAATCGGCCCAGTTTATAGGGGAAACCGGGTCAGTGTAAGTAAAATTTCTTGATCTTTAGCTTCTAGACTAGACTGGCCAGTTTGTAAGAAAAATGGTACAGGATATACTAGTAAGGGTAACTGCCAAGCACCCACAACTGTGTTATCCTGGCGTTATATTGTTTTTATGGCCAATTACCAATCCAGCATATCTTCAATCCAATTAAACAGGAAGAACATGTGACTTTGCTTGTGCCATGTTAAAACTTATCTGCAATTTACTGCTGACATAAAACTTATTGTCTTGGCAAATATCTGATTATTATTATATCTTTTTTTCAGGATCAAGCTCAGATGTTGGTGAATGTGACCAGTGAACTTCCTAACAATGAATTGCTTCTCCAGAAACACTTCATGGCTGTAATTTCGTCTGTCTGGAGATCAAAATGTCGCCGTGATCCCTGCTGTTTTACGAATACTTACTCTACTGCATTACATATGTTTTCTCCTGTGAAGAAGCCTGGTGGATCAAGTGAGAACTGGCCCATGGTAAACTTTAGACCAAGCTTCAATCTAGTTAGGAAAGCCCTTGCAGATGCTCAGGCTAAGTCTACACTAATGGTGATTCCACCACCGTCGAGAAATCAGGAATACTGGCGGAATTATTTAGAATTAGAGTTAGATTTCTTGAAACATCAACATGCTTATGAGGAAGACTTCCCATCTGTAATAAATGTGTCCATACTGGAACCAGAACCATCCAAACAGGCTCCAGAGCCAGTGGAACAATCGTTATTGTCTGGATTTTCTTGTAGACAAGCTGAGAACCGACTCAGGTCAGTGTTGACGCAAGTCTTCATATTTTGCTGTTATAATGGTGGTGGCCATTGCCATTCTTATCTTAGTTTAAATAAAACAGTGATTCTTTGAATTTCATGATTTTTCCTAATATTTAGCCCACCTCTGCTACACGAAATAATGCTAATGCATCATTTTCATTTTTCTTTGCAGGATAGCATCAGAAGCTTGTTATGATGGTGATAGTTCTCATTGGGCATCATCAGCTTTCCACATGAATGATGCCACCCGCCATAAATCTGGTTCAAAGTCCATAGGAAAGCACAAAGCAGCATCGGAATCTGGTAGACCTACCAAATCCAAAGTCCAGAAGATTACTGAATCGCATCAGGAAGGGCCAACTGTCATGAGTAATTTTCTCCATATGCCTGTTCAACTATTGCCAAGTACAGCTGACTTCCACATTAGTGACTCCCTATCTGAATTTGGTATCAGTGATTCTGAATTCCACTACTCCGAGGATCTCTTGCAAGAGGTCGACGATCTCGAGTTCTTCCCAGATCAGGGTGACTCTGGTCTCCTTCCTGGTATTGAAGAGTTAGAACCTCTTTCAGATTTCACAGATATCGGATGAACATAGATGGACGAATTATTCTTGATGGGATGCCCTTCTATACCAAGAGGAGACAAGATTGCCTCTAGCAGGAGCCCAAGGATATAGGTTGAGTTGCTCAGCCGTGCACATATGTGCTGCAAGCTTGATCATGGTTGGCTGGAGCAAAGCTGCTGGCTTGGTGAGGTCACATTGATCTGACAAGCTTGGAGGATGGGTTTTCACTAATGGCGGCATTGGGTAATTTCCATACATGTATGTATATTGGTAGTCTAGAATCGTAGGATGTAGAAATGCCTCCCTCATTTGTGTTTGGGGGCAGACCTTGTAACTCGACCACATGGAAATTTTGTTGAGCAGGTACCAACAGAGAAGGGAAAAGAGGAGGCCCTCAGCATCACCCATTTGTTGCTGTATCTCGTGTTATGTTCATTCCCTGTTTGACCCAATGTTGTTTGGCTATCTTGCCATCGAAAACATCTCAGATGTCAAGTTGGTGGTTGCCATCTCTATCAGAAATTTAGGATGTGGTGCCAATGTAGCTGTCAAAGAATGATCAGTCAAATGCAGCTTATGGGCGCATTATATTTGGTCAGGAATCAATGCATGGTATCAATATTGTCAGAACTGGTGTTCCAGTTTCACTTGAGGAATACAATTTCTGATTTGATCGAGACCCTGGAGGCAAGTTTTAGGAGGTAAAGAGCGTGGCCATAGTTATACATGTATGTAATAAAATGATGTAAGGTAGTAATCTTCACTCTGGACTTTTGGGCTTATGGTTCTGTGGGCTCTCGGTCTCGGTTATGCCAATTAATAGCCATAAGGGGCTTGTAAAACAGCGGGCTTCTGCTGTGAGCCTGTAACAATGCAATTGATTGTGCGCCACCATATTGGTTTTTTTGGTAAGTAGACGTTGCATCACTGCAAAGCAACGTTGAGAACTTGAGATAGAGTAACTGGTCTGTTTCGCTCAAAAATACTTAGCTTGTGCAGTCTTGGCCTCCGATAACCTGTAAGCTGAGAATGTTTGGCCAATCCCATAATATCTAAGCTGACTAGCTGAGAATGTCTGGTCAATCCCATAATCTGTAGGCTGAGAATGTTTGGCCAATCAAGATCTAGATGCTGTCTGTAAGCTGAGAATATTTGGCCAATATCAAGGTCTAGATGCTGTCCCTCGCTAAGCATTTTATGCTTCAGAATAAGTTTTTTCACAATAACTAAGCATAAGCAATCAGAAAACAAAATTTTCAAAGCACGAACTGTTTTATAATATAGTGAAAAGAAAACGGAACTCTATTTATTGTAAGATTCTCTGTGCAAGTGCGATCAACATAGTATATTTTTCACGCTTGGAAAACGCTGCTCCCGGAGAAAACTACGCAGTCTCGAACAAACTGGATAAGACGGCCTAAAAACCCCATTCCTCTCCCAGTACCTTTCGGCGTTCGCCCACCTCCCCCCATCCGCTGCCATGGCCTCGCTCCACCCCACGACGGCCATGCTGGCCCATCGCCATTCCCCTGCGCCCTCTGTCAGCGCATCGTCGCTCTCATGGTCCGCCTCCATCGCCGTCTCCCGCATCCCGCCGGCCCCTGGTCTCGCGCTCCACCCACCGGTTCCGCCTCCCGCCTCCGGCAACCGCCAGGTCTGAACCCTCTTAACCCTCTCTCTCACGCACCGGCGCGCTACGATTCGATTCGCTACCGCGATGATGTCCTAGCGGTGATCTAACCCGTCGCCAACCGGCCGCAGCAGAGCCCGGTGGTGTGCGCGGCGTGGACGCGGCGGTCGCGCGGGGAGGCGGAGCAGCGGCCCAACCGCAAGTCGTGGAAGCAGCGCACGGACATGTACATGCGCCCCTTCCTGCTCAATGTTTTTTTCTCCAAGCGCTTCGTGCACGCAAAGGTCATGCACAGGGGCACCAGCAAGGTCATCGCCGTCGCCACCACCAACGCCAAGGACCTCCGGCTCACCCTCCCGTCCCTTGTCGACGACAACGCCTGCAGGACCATCGGGAGGCTCATCGCCGAGAGGTCCATGGACGCCGACGTCTTTGCTCTGGCCTATGAACCCAAGAAGAACGAGAGGATCGAGGGCAAGCTCGGGATCGTGATTGACACCATTAAGGAGCACGGCATCATCTTCGTCTAGGCAAGTTTCATGGTAGGAGTAGGGCTGTTGTGTTTTAGTGTCGACTCCTGTAGCCTGGAAATTGTTCCCTTATTGAGATCAAAACAAATACAAAAGTATTAACACTAAATGTCTTAGACCAATGTTGCTGACAGTTGCTGTTTTCAGTTCTGAAGTTTGATGAAATTGCAAAAGTTTGACACCACGCTAGTCTAAAGTAATAAGAAAAAAACTGTCAAATCAACTGTAGAAATTGCCAGTTGTGATGCAAATGCTAATAAAAAATTTAAAATATGTTAGTTCAATGAGGTTCACTGAGCCTCAGATTTGATATATTAAATAACTAGCAAAATGTTAAGAAAAAAAAATACCTTGAGACAAATTAATCCAGTGGCAAATACCATTTTCTCAAAATCTAAAAGTAATCGACTACTCAAAAGTGAAAATCATCATCCTTGACTACATTAGTGAGATAACTGTAAGTTTTATTTTGCTATATTTGTTACTGATAGGATTTCAAACTTAGAGAGTATAATAAAATAAGAAATACATGGTGTTGGTGTTGCTAGGAAATTGGAACTAGGCACTCAGTAGCTTCCGTCCCTTGTTTATGTGGTAGCTGATGAATGCCCTCCAGGAGTTGTATTGTTCATGCTCTTCAAATAACAACTGAATGGTTCCACCAGATGTAGAGAGATTCATTGCAGAATAGCTTTGTTTATCTGTAGGATAGCTGAACTCTTCTCCCTCCCCTTGTTCGTGGAAAATTACATCAAGAAGAAAGTGGGTAAATGGTATGACAATGTGTTGGAAAGAAACAACAATGCGTCATAGTTCTGGCAGCTCACTTATCTTTAATATCCTCCTGCATAGCAAAGTGGGGGTAGTTCTAAGTATGTTCTTTCTTCAATTGACTGTATGACTGTATTTTACTATTTTCTATCTTATAGTTTCACTGTATGACTGTATTGTCTAGATCTTTTAAGTCTGTCATTGTGCTATGTTGGAATGCTTTTTCATGGGTAAGTAATGGAAATTTATCTGTTAAGAGCTCATCATTGTTTCAACCTGATCTTAGTATGAATTCTGTTTGTTTATGTACAAAACAATGATAAATGTCATTTAGTACTCACACTTTTCAGAGAATGACACTTCTTGCCTAATGTTAGTGTTATATTGTCATACTTGCAGTGCACGGAAACAATCCTGTTATGGAACCTTCCTGCATGGGTGCACAAATGAATCCACTTAATTTTTTCCCCAAACATTCTATTATTGAAAATGAAGTAATATAATGGGATAAGCAATCAGTAAATGGTGAGTTAATTGGCTATACCCTTGGGTGTATGAACAAGGAGTGTGGCATCTTTCTGGTTGTTCATGCGGCCTTCCAAGAATCAGTTGTTTGTCCGCATCTTAAGACCCTCAACCCCTCTTAGACCTACAGAAGCAAGAACCATGGTTTCATGTTATGTTATCCAGAGAAAATGAGCTGGTCTGGTTCTTGATCTTACAGGCTGCCGCACTAGTAGTTAGTGTGAGCAAATCTCCCAGTGCTCTAGTCTCCAATCCCATATTAATGACTGATGAAACCTGTTCCCTGGTAGCTCCGGCAGATTTTGCCACCTCAGCACATGAGGCTGCCACCAGCGCTGCCGCTGATGTGATTGCAGCATGCATCTTCATGCCACTCAAATTATTTGACCCGAAGGAGCAATTTCCGATAGTTCCTGCAACTACTGTAGACAACCTTGCAACTGAGAGGGCTGCATTTATCTGGGCTGTTTGAAGTCTTTTATCCTCCCTCTTCTTTACATATCCCTTCTGCACTATATTCATTAGCTTGCCTTTCAACCATTCTGCCACTGGGCCCATAATCATCTGGGGAGCATTACATGTGTCAAATCTAAAATAGAAAGACTGCCTTAGTCTGGGAAGTTTTGTCTTTGCTTACACGGTTGGCGTGGCTAGTTTTGTATTTCTGACATCTTGTGCGCTGAACATTTCCACTGGATAGTAGAGCCTGTTGGAAGACCATCCATCAGATCTGGTACATAAACATCTGCTATATGCATATAACATTGATATTTGTTTTTACCCTAATATCTTCCACCTTTTTTTTGATCTCTTCATTGAGATTGAGCATGTTGTTTCCATTGTCATCCTTGCACATATCCAGTGTACCATTGCCAGAGAATGCACCTATACTCTAAGAAGCACAGCATAGTCTCATAGATGTATTTTGAGATCACTTTACAATATTCCATGAAATATAATGGGTACTGGAAAAATATTATATCCAACGAGTAGGTCTGTTCCATTTTGCCATCTCAACTGTCTTGTCCTAGTATAATCTGATAGGACATCTTACTCTGCATTCTAGTTTTTCTTTTCCAAGTAAAGCAATCAATGTTAGGATACACTTTGGGCCATAACGACAGTTATGCGATAAATTGAAAGCCTTTGGTTTTGTTTGGCTGTTCACTTGATAGGTTATTTGTTTTGTTTTTTAAAAGAAAAGTTCATTTTGTTTCACCAATAGTTACCTATTTATTATAGTTTATGCTTGGTTATGGAAATTATTTTAATATATGCAATTCAATCATATATATGATAATATCTAAGGTTTGTAGTATGCAGTAGTGAGTTGAACAAAATATGTAATTGAAGGACACTAGTACCATGGAGTTGGACCAGGTATCATATCATGTGGGTGGATTAACATAAAATTGCACTCTACCATATTTCAGTCTTCCATAGAACATGCAGTCCCTATCATGTGTGCTTTTGGGTAGATCATGATGAATGCTTTACTTCAAGTTAAAATAGCGCATCAGATTACTTGGTTTATACGTTTACAGAAAGCAGATAAAATATTTCAGAGGAAGATAAGCTTTCGGAACGAAGCTTTGCAGTTTGTAGATGGTTCTCAGTTTCCTCTGGTTCAGAATATTCTGATTTTTTTTGGAATTTTGCTGTATATCTCTAGGCTTCTTTGGTCATTCATCTCTGTTGCCATCCTTCCTGCCATGAATCATGATTACATCAAATTACTTTAGATGCTTATATGATTCCTAAGTGGTTAGTTCTTTTCATCTTCTGACTGCTCTAAGGTTTGTAATTCAGTGGCACATACCCTGACAGCCATGGGCTTTAGTTGCAAGGGAAAAAAAACTTTTGATGTAGCGTTGATTTTACAGGCAAGTCGTGAATATATGTTGACGTAGTGGTGTCCCGTGTCCGTGACTTGCCTGTACAGTGATTAATGGACTCTGTTTGCATCTCCGCGTCCCGTGGCGCTCATGCAATGTCCCTCACAGCACGTGTAGTGCAAAGATGTTTATATATAAGCATGCGACAAAGAGCTCTGAACCTACAGATATTTAGAATGAGATTAAGAACCTATTCAAACGTCAGTTGGGCCAACGAGAACGTCACGGTGCCGTAGCCATTTCCTGGCATTGACTAGGGACTTGTCGCCTTGCCCCAAGCCGCTATATATCAAGTGAGGTCAGGCCCTCCCTCGCCCCGGTCCGGTTCGCATCCAACATGGCGAGACCGCCGTGGTAGCCAAGGCAATGGCACCACCACATTTTTTCGAGGTTTTGGATTTGGATTTCCCAACGGCGCAGGGCCGGGGGTGGTGAATCTGAATCTGACTGAATCCACGGCGCTCCCTCGGTGATAGCAGACTGACAGGGCCGTGGCGGATGGACTGGGCCAGGCCGCGTAGCGCTATCACTTTCATTTCCATTTCACCCCGTCCACGCACGACAGGGCAGAGAAAGAGCTGTAGCTTTCGGAACTGACCGTGGCAACGGGAAGATCAGAATGGCTCCCGCCTAGTAGGATTATATTGAACTATAAAATGCTGTGCAGAATCCTCACGTTCTGAGCAGAAGGTGACGTTGCTGTATTGCCCATCTCCAAAAAGAAATAGTTGTGCTGGCTTGCCGCCGGCTGATGATTCGGCGGCTGACATATATAGCGAGTAAAGATACCTGGTCAATCGTTAATCAACCCGCGTTTTAATTATCTGCGAAGGTGACGCATTGCGCTCTCCAAAGCTGCGTCTCCAAAACCCGATCGTGATTATTTTTCTCCCCGTCAGGGATTATATTTATTTAAAAAAAAACGTTGCGATGCTGACACTTCCCTTGCCTTGTCAGTTTCCTTCGCAATTGGGTTTTTTAACAACTCAGGATACGATTGGCCCGTTCGGCTGGCAGAATTTTGGCCGAAAGTGGCTGAAAAACATTGTTCTGGCTGAATTATTGTGAGAGAAAAATACTGTTCCGGCTAAAAAAAGAAGCTGAACGAGTCGAATATGGAGTAAGCCGAATGGGGCCCGCTCGCGAATAGCTGATTAGTCCTCCAGAGACAACAGACTGCGAACTGTGTGAGGTGTATACGTACGTCAGGCATCTGGTTGCGTCGTTGCAAGTGGGCTCGAGGCGAAATCGACACATTGGTTGTCTTCTACGCGCTCCGGCTCAGCAACGTGTGCCTCCGTAAATAAATGTAGATAGATATTGGCGCGACAGCGTGCTCTGTCACGGTTGTGCACTTCGTTCCTCTCGGGAGATAAGAAAACGTGCCGTCACTGCTTTGATCTTTCCACGCCCTTGACGGGATCAGCAGCAGGCAGCAGGCGTTTATTTCCCTGAGGCCTGAGCTCGTCGGAAGCTTCGAGGGCTAGCGTGCGCGTGCTGCCTTCTTCTGGCGACGAGCACGGGCCGGCGACCGGGAGGGAGCGCAAGGAACCCGGCGGAGCGGAGGCGGGCGGACGCGACACCGCCACGCTTAGTTTCCCGTGGGCGCGACGTGACGACCGACTCCCTGCCGGGACGGACGAGGACGACGACAGGCCAAGTCGCGGACCTCCGCCGGCCCTTTCTCCATCTGCCGACCCGTAGCCGAATTTTTTTATTTTTTTAGCCTTTTTTTTTAAAGTTTTTTACAAATACGTTTCTGACGGTAAGATTTTAAAATCTTTACCTTTAGCTCAGCGTCAGGGTCGCTGGCATCGAGCTTATACGTCTCGGCGCCATCGTTGCTGGCGCCGAACTCTTGGGTTTGACGCAGACGTGGTAGTGACATGGCAGGCAGCTCGGCGCCGTAGATCTTGGCATCGAGCTTGGCACCGTAGATCTTGGCGCTGAGCTCGGCGCCAGGGTCTCTGGCGCCGAGGCTGCCTGTTTTAACCCCGGCCCCAACCTTCCTGCCCAAGCCTTCTTCTTCTTCTTTCTCCCCCCTTTCGGGTTTTTTCTCTCCCCACTTCGCCCTACCTCACGAATCGGCATATTGGACCTTGAAAACTTTGATTTGATCTGTAGATCTTCGAGAGCAAGGTATCATCGCTCCCCTCCTAATATTTTCGCATTGATTCGGTATATATTAGTCGGATTTTTCAACCTAAGAATCGTCATTACTTAGGGTTTCATTCTATCCCTCAATAATTATATTATACAACCGTAGGATTATGCCAAGGCGTGAAAAAAGGTAGCAAACCTAGGTAACCGCAGCGCATGTAGTTATGTTATGGGTTCATTGTTGTGCATCAAATGGAAAACCTTAGGTTTATGGTTTAATGTTAATTGCTTTCGATTTTTAGAACGAAATTGGTTGTATTGTAGTTATGATTCTCATTAACATTTATTTGTGATGTTTTGATTTTTGTTTGTTAGATTACATCTGTCGGGTTCATAAATCCGGGGTCCCTCATGGACCGGCTTCCCAACAAAGGCTCGGGCTAGCAGACAACGTTAAGAACGATGCGCAACTCATGGGCCGACCGAAATACATAAACGACAGGCCAGAAGAGCAATCCAATCTCCGACCGGAAGGCCTCGCTAAGGCGGAACAAACGCTCGCTTCTGACTCTAGTCCGCCCCGCCGACCGGAAGGCCTGGCCAAAGAGGAACAACGCTCGCTTCCGACTTCAACCAGCCTCTCCGACTAGAAGGCCTGGCCAAATACCGTTTTCGATTTCGACCCGCGTTTTCGACCGGGGATGTGCTGAATCCCTGCTCACAGCTCTTCTCCAACTAGCACAATAAGAGCCAACTGGGATCAACCGACCGGGGAAGCCCGCTCAATAAGTACCAGCAAACGGACGGAGGAAGTAAGGTAGGGCACTCAAGTTAACCGCAATACCAAGGACCGTACCCTTTACACCTATAGGACAGTACCCTGTGACCTTCCTGGCATGACAAAACCCAAGTTCGACATCATCTCCATGCCATTGAATCAAATACTGATACATGGTCGATGGTACACAACAGTTCGCAAGGATCCAATCACGACCAAGGAGCAAACTGTACGACCCTTTTCCATCGATGACGAAGAATGTGGTGAGCAGAGTCTTACTCCCGATTGTTAGTTTGACGTTTATTGCCCTCCGGGTCTTAGACGCATTACCTCTAAAATCCTTAAGCATCATGTCAGTCTCCATCAGATCTCCTGATCCTTTGCCAAGTTTACGAAAAGTGGTATAAGGCATGAGATTAATAGAAGCACCTCCGTCCACCAACATCTTGTTCATTGGCTTCTCATCAACCAAACCTTTTACATATAAAGCCTTTAGGTGCCGATGCTTGACTGGTTTATCAAATATTGCTTGTTGTATAACCATTAACTTAGCAACCATCTCCTCATACTCTGACTCATCAAAATCCGAATAAACTTCTTGATCTACCGGAGCTCTGAACTCTGATGGCAACAGAAAAGTCATTTGAATATTAGCCACTGGTTGCTTTTTATCGGCTGTTTGCTTAGTACGTCATACTTGAGGTTTATCGGATGCCTGCGCATGTTTCAACTCTCTATTTCGTAGGCGTTGCACCCTTCTCTTCTGGCTTCTTGTCAAACCTCCTATGCGCTATTGGCCTTCTTGCCAGACATATTCTCTCTCATTGCCTTCTTCATAATCAACCCAGTCTTGATCAACAACTCTTTTTCCCAGCCGATTATGAATACTTTTATTTTTTAAACGCCGATCCATGTTATTATGATGATATGCATCTTGAGCATGGATAGACCGGCGGTTGGTTTGAGATTGCCTAAACTCCCAATATTGATCGCTATATTCTGGACAGTCATGTCTGGTACGCAACTTCAAACCTTCATTCCAGCAATGTCTGAAGAAAGAACAATTCCAATGTAATTCAGCTTGTTTCCTTTCATACCTATCTTTTTCCAGCTGACGCTGGTATTCTTAGTCCTTTAACCAACGCTGATAATCTTTTTCCTTCTGTCGCTGTTATTTATTCAATAGAATTTGAGATGCAACGCACGGCTTTGTCGCCCCTGCTTTTGACGTTTTCCCCTGCTCATACCGGTTCTTTTGCTTGTCGCGACGTCTCTTAATTTCTCTGTATTCGTCGGCCGATATTTGCATCTTGGGATCCACTATTCCAAGTTCTCTTGATTTGGTTGATGTTAGGACCTTAGTCTTTTCCTTGAGCAGCTTAGCATCAACCATGTTTTGATCTCCTAGGAAAGGATTATCATCAATTTTCATTTTCCGAGGTGTATCAAACTTGAGCCTTCCTTGCTGAATAGCCCTCTGTATATGCTGTCGGAAAATTCTATATTCATTTGTGGAATGAGAAGTAGCGTTATGAAACTTGCAGAACTTCTTATTCTGCAACTGATCAGGGGGCAACATAACATGATTATCGGGCAACTTGATCTGCCCCTTCTCAAGTAAGAAATCAAAGAGCTTGTCTGATTTTGTGACATCAAAGTCATAGGTCTCCTTGACTCCTCTTCTCTAAGGATTTGGCACCATTACTGTTTTTTGCCCTAATTCCATTCAGCCGCAGCAACCTCTTCTTCTTCATCTTCATAGGCATCATCGACTGAGTATGGATTATAATCTTCGACCACTGTGGTACTCTTCTGAAATCGGGTATCTCTGCGTATACTCTGGAATTGGCTATTAAGTGCTGCCACTCGTTGAGCCAATTGACCCAAGTTGTCAAATTCTTTTTCCAGCAGTTTTTCTTTCCACATTGGCAGCATTCCTTTAACGGCTAAAGCAGCTAGCTGATTGTCAGCCAAGTTTAACAAGAAGCATAAGTTACTAGTCTCTTAGAACCTCTGAAGAAACTCAGTGCCTGATTTAGTAGTTTTCTGCCTTATAGT